TAAAAATCAAAACTCTGATGTTTACTAGTTCTTTAACATACCGTATGGACAACAAGGAACCATTAGGTCCTCCAAGCCTATCCTTGAACATTCACCCTAATGAAAAGTAAAAATTTAAACCCATCCTTTATTTTTCAAAAAATCAAAACTTCCCTTTGAACTTTCTGTAAAGTTGACATTTTCCTACACTGAAAATGTATTTCCGATAGATACTTACCTCCTGTGTCACACTCCTGTTGGTGGAGGGTTGCTGCATAATCACTTGCATGATAGCATGCAGATGTCTACATGAATATGCATGAGGGTAGGTGGGAGTATCAAGGCTAGTGGCAAGTGAAAATTTGATAATATAGTGCAGTATAAGTTAAAAAAAGCTATTTGTGAGAGGAGGTAGGATTTCGTATTGGATTTGCTGGCCTCCAGTACTTCCAATGGCAACTCATTCCATAAGTAAAATTCAGATAGATCACCTCTTCTTACAATTATATTCCAAAAATAAAATATATTAAATGCATCATAAAGTTCTGTTAACTTTAATAACAGCAACAGAGCACTGTTTCCATGGCTTGAATGACTTATCCACTGTTACACCAAGATCCTTTCCTTTGGTCAGCTGCTGAATGACTTCCCATTCACATCAGACATGTGATCAAAATTATGATAGCCCAAGCCATTACACTGCACTTACTACAGTTAAAGATCATTTACCTTTATTGTTAGTGAACTGGAATAATGAGTTAAAAAATGATGCGGGATGGATTTTCAAACATTTTAAAAAATTGCTTTTTTAATCAAGATATAGATTTTCCTTAAGAAAGGGCCTGGCACGGCCAGGTGGTTTGGGTGCTCAACTCACAATTTGCAGATCTGGGTTCGATTACCCGTCCCACCAAACATGCTCACCCTTTCAGACGTGGGGGTGTTATAATGTGATGGTCAATCCTTCTATTCCCTGCCTTCCCTCTAGTCTTTCACTGCTAAATTAGGGATGGCTGGGGCAGATAGCCCTCGTGTAGCTTTGCGCGAACTTCCAAACAAACAAATCTAAATCCTTAAAAAAGGGTGGAAAGGATAACAGGGAAGAACAAGTCTAATAAGCTTATTAAATTCACAAAGTAGAAAATCAGGGTTAAATGCCATAAGCTGAAGAACAGATAGGTTGGAACACATATAGAACTGTAGAGATTTTGTTAAAGAAATAATAGGGCTTATGAGAAATTGCTGGCTAATATGCTGATATTAACAGAAGATATTAGCAATGATCCTGATTTTCAGCATTCTCTAATCTATGGGAAGTATTGGAATTGGCCCTTCAGTGAAGTTGGAAGAGAGAAAATCCTGAAAGAAAACACTTTGGGATGGTGCACTTAATGCTTCATAGTACTAGTACTATTCAAAAAGTTCACGAATTAAACAAAAATACATTGTGTAACATTTTTCATTAACAGTGCAGTGTTTATTATGTTTATTGCCTAACTTACTAAAATACAGACATGTGTGACCACAAAATTACAGGAATTGAAACTAATTCATGCTCAAATAAATCCCCAGTGGTTCAACAGTAAGTCTGAGGGATTATTACACTAAAAATTTGGTTTCAATACCCATGGTGGGCATAGCACATTTAGCCAATTGTGTATTTTTGAGCTTAACAACAAACAAACTAAAATAATTTCAAAAGTTTAGTGTAATTACACATTTATGGCTCATCTGAGCTATAAGCCATTAACTGGAAATAGGGCACCCAACTTAAATAGTGCTTAAAAGTTTTTATTTCTGTGAACTGCTGGCTCATCAGGACATTTCCCTGTATCCTTTTTGGCCAATCTGTTTGACCTGAATTAAGTAGATACTAATCATTTTGTGGTATGTAAAAATATTGAAGGATTAAAAAAAATAAAGCACCAGGGTCTGACAAGATTCTCTCCAGGATTTTAATGTAGGTTGAAGATGAGATAAGCAAGCCTCTCTCTCTTTCATTTTTGGTAGGGCTTTAGACAATGGACAGATGCCTGAGGATTGGAGAGTTATTGATGTTACTTGTATTTTTAAATGGTGTGATAATAGTTGTACTGGAAAGTATTAATCAGTAGTCTTTCTTTTATAATGGGAAAACTCTAGTCAGATAAAAGAAGCTTTACAAAATATTTTGGTGAAATTTATCATAAAAGAAAGCTAGCATGATTCACCAAAGGTAAACCTTATTTGTTATTAGAATATCAGTGCTAGAGGTTGTGGAAAGAATAGTTAATTGGATTGTAGGATGGTTAGATGGGAGAAAGTGAAAAGTGGTATCATGTTTTGTACTCCTCTGGTTAAAGTGTAAAGGTTTTGTGATTTCTGTGTTGTCTTACAGTTCAGTTCAGACTTGGAAAGTCATTGAACTAAACACATCTTAACTTTGTTTCTTTCTAACTCTGTTTGGGACCTCATTCATTAGTTGGCAATTAATTGAATTTCTTTCAGGGAAGATAGCATTTAACATCAGGTAATTACTCTTGAGTTTCCTTCCCCTGCAATTGAGCATGAGGTGGCAGAGGTCAATTTTAGAATAATGTTTTGTATGCAAGCCTGGCTGAATTTGTTACTGTTTTATATCAAAAGCAAGGTTTTCCTTTGTTGACCAGATTTTTGTTGAGATTTTTTGTCATTGACTTTTAGTGGACTTTGTTAGTTTGGTAAGCTTTAGTTTAATGTTTAATAACTTGTATCTTAGTTTTGTTTTTATTTAATATTTTAACTGTGAGCTTATTTTTATTTTGTAACTTTTAGTTTAACTTATGGGGTGGGGCATACACTGGACTGGTGAGAGAGAGTTCACTAAGGTTTAATTTCCCTGCTATCTCCCTCAGTCCACATACTCATCCTAGATTCACATGTCACTGTTTTATCTTGTGTTAATAATTCTGATTGTGTTTATAGTGTAAATAAAGATTATTCTTGTGCACCTTTCGTGATTCAGCTCTTTTTCTCTTGATGAACTAGGTTAGAAATTGTGAAAGTGAACAGATACACACTCTGTAGCTTGGTATCTTTGGAACATCTAGTTAATGGGCCAGAAATCGATGAATTGTAAAATACCATGGAGTCCAGTCAAGCTAGACCCTTGTTACAAGTTGAGTGCCTAAGAGTGGTTCAGTGCTTTGGCCTTTGAAGTTTCTTATTTACATTAATGGTATTGATAGAGGCATAATTAGTAAATTAGGGATTTCTAGCTGTATTGAGGTATTACTTTTGACTTGGATCAATTGGTAAGTGGATAAGTATTTTGATTGTAAGAGTTGAACTAAGGGAATCATGATCATTGTATAATTAGGCTTGAGGTTTTACTACATGTTGAGATAAAAAATTTTAATTCCTAATTTTTGGGAAAATCAATTTTGAGGATGTGCGGCAAGATTTAATTATACAATGATCATGATTCCCTTAGTTCAACTCTTACAATCATATCCGTTAATATTGATTTTCAATCAGGGCAAGCTACCACTTTAGAGTGAAACTGAAAATCAATCTGGTAATGAGTATAACTAATTAAACATACTTTTAAAATATCACAGGCATTGTATTAATTATACAATGATCATGATTCCCTTAGTTCAACTCTTACTACCATGTCCGTTAATATTGATTTTCAATCAGGGCAAGCTACCACTTTAGAGTGAAACTGAAAATCAATCTGGTAATGA